AGAGAGAGAGAGAGAAAGAGAGAGAGAGAGAGAGAGAGAGAGAGAGAGAGCTTAAAAAAGCAACAAGAAGAAGCAGACACAGAACACAGAAAAAAAAAGCCAAGCTGCTTCTCTATTCAATGAATCGGATTATGACTACCTTCTTCCCCCCAATTATAGAATGTATGGGTCATTTTAACTGCATTTGGACTGAAAGGTCAGCCAAATACGGCCGTAATGACAGTACGTTCTATTCTGGGGAAGACGATACGACTGCGTGCGGAATAGACTGCAACTCCTGCCCAGCCTACGGAAAGAAAAGAGTCGTAAAACTCAATGACTGCGTGCGAGCAGACAGGCTGAATGCATTTGCACACATTTGAATTTTGAATGCATCGGGACACATTTGGGGAGCAGCCTGTGATGCTATGGAAATGTTCAGTAAACTGCCCCACGGCTTTGGGCCTAGTTGTACCACTCGCCCCTCGCCAAGATTTCGAATGCATCTGCACACCAAAGATGTCCAGGTTGCATTCAACGTCTTGCCAAATGGCAAGTGGTGCAACAAGGCCCTTTTGTCCTTCATGCACCAAGAGTCACTTGTTCGATTTTGACGAGGACAAAGGCAGACATGGGACAAGTTTTATAGTTCCGGAAAAGGGCCCACCTTTTGTTTTTCTTTTTGTTTAAAAAAAATTAAATAAATGGCAACGGCCTTTTGATATCACCATTGGAGCTGACCGAGCGGCCCCAGATAATTGAGTTATTCTGCACATCTCATTGCTATCCGGATTCGAACTTGCATCTGAATGTTATCCGGATAATGGACCCGATTCGAACTTGCATCTGAATGTTATCTGGATAATGGACCGCATTTGAACTCAGGAGGTCGGTAATTCAACAGTTCAGGGGTGTACCAACTGAGCTAGGCTTGTTGGCGGGCCGCCTTTTGTGAAAAGAGAGGCGGACGAAAATTGAAGGTGGTTGGAGTTCTCGCGCAGATCAGAAGAATGGTGAAATTCAAACTGACTGAGGGCATACTCACACTAGCACTTTCCAAGTTTGTATCAGACCGGAATTTCGGCCACACCTGTATGCATCTGGCTGCAATTCCGTCCAGAAATAAGTCAAAAAGCCCTAGTGTGTGAGTATGCCCTGAAGAACGAATTATTTGTTTGCTAGTGTCAGACAGATTAGTAGATTACCCCCGCGAAAACACGGGATTGCAAAATGGGGAAGAGCAGTTAGGGGAGACCATGCTAATCTTCTCCGTGTCGTTCCGCATTTTACGGATGTCCGTTTGCTCTGCGGATTCAAGTTTTAACAAAAAGTAGGAGGGGACGAAAGATGTGCTTCACGAATGCGACTCGCCACCAACATGTCACTCGTCGCCTCGGAAACCCCAGCAGCAGGTCCGCCCATGAAATGAAATCATCAGGGTTTTTGAGGGGACCTACGACAGGTATCGCGTATTGAAGCGGAACCGATGGCGGGTACGGAAATTTGGATTTTCTGGGCACTACCGGTAGGGTCTCCCTTTCCGTGCAGACCGGGTGTCACTTGTTGCCTCGGAAACCCCAGCAGCTGAGGGGGCAGGAGGTCCGGCCGTGAAATGAAATCATCATCAGGTTTTTAGAGGGGACCTATGACAGGTATCTCGTGTCGAAACCAACCAATGATGGGGATGGAAATTTCAATTTTTTGGGCATTACCGGTAGGGTCTCCCTTCCCATCCCTCACCCCCCGCTCGTCCCCCCCCCCAAAAAAAGAAACAAAACGGCGTGCACACATCAAGTCAAGAAGTTTTTTGCAGATTTGAGATGCAGATCAGTACCTAACTTTGACTTTCCATAACTTCAGAACACCACGTTTCGTTTACGCACCAGAGACAAAAACTCGCCATGATAAGTCGTGCCTCGCACAGGATCCATGCAAACAAGATTGTGGAATTTTCGGTTCAACAAGCGCAGCTCGTGGAAATGACACTGAAAAAAGACAAATGCGATTACAGCGGTATCCGCTCATATCTTCAATTGCGGATCGAGTAACTTTTGGCGCAGAGCTACCTAAACAAAAAACAAAACCAAAGGATACCCATCGCTCCACTAAACTTTCAACATGCACCTGGATAGATGTTTGAACCAGATACATCCTGACTGATCAAACATTTTGAATGCATTGGGACCATTACCAGCTCCAGATACATTTAGAATGTTGTGCAGTGGAGCGAGACCCTATGTTCAATTCAGAACAGGTAATTCAAAGATTACGAAGTACAAAGGCACATTTTGGTTATCCCACACCTACTTCAACTACTTCAGGGCATACTCGCACTAGCACTCTTTTACTCATCTCTGGACGGAAATTGGGCCAGATGCATACAGGTCCGGCCGTAAATGCCGTCAGATGCATTCAGAACAGGTAATTCAAAGATTACGAAGTGCAAAGGCACATTTTGGAAATCCTACACCTACTTGAACTACTTCGGGGCATACTCACACTAGCACTACCCCTCTTTTACTTGTCTCTGGACGGAAATTGGGCCAGATCCATACAGAACCACAGATCCTGCCGTAAATGCCGCCAGATGCATTTATGATAGTGCTGGTGTGAGTAGCCAGCCCCTCAGACTCTCAGCCATATCAGTATGGAATATTGAGAGAGATGGAGCGAGACCCTGTGTTTAATTCAGAAAAGGGGATTCGAAGATTGCTAAGTAAAGCACCACCTTCTGTTGGAATATTTGAAGATTCGAAGATGCACATTTTGGTAACCGTACACCTACTTCACACATTCAGCCATATCCGTACAGATTACGGGGAGCGGAATCAGCGGATACAACACACATGATGCGCGTGGTGACGCAAGCAGCACCACGGGCGTGCAACAGTGTGCAAAAGCTGACGTCAAATTGGAATCATACTCAGGGAAAAGCGCAGCACTTCGTGCGTACGAAGCAGGTTCGGTCCGAGAAACAGACGGTGGACAAGAAAGAAAGATGTTTGACGATGGGTCTCATTGATCTGGTCACCTGAATAAAAGAAAACAATCCACTCGCCACACCAAGTGAATGAAAGAGCTGGTGGGTAATTAGGGAGAGCTCATTCTTCTTTTTTTTTTGTTGGGTTGGGTTGGGGGGGGGGGGGGGGGGGGGGGGGGGGGGGGGCGCTTGATGAAAGACGAAACAGAAAGCTGCACCTTAAAAATGATAAAAAGAGTTAAAATTTAAAAACCATGAAAGTGCAAAAAAAAATTTAAAAATTGAAAAACTAAAAATAAAGTTTGTAGAACTTTGTACCTGATGTCATGTGGAGTGATGAATATCCATTGGTTACCATTCTCTATCGCGAAATCAACAACCTTCTTCAAGCTGATTCTCCGGCTGACGGAGTCCTGCATCCACACAGAGCAAAGGAGATCAAAAGCAGAATATGAGAGATGAACACTAGTATGCACGGAGAAACAGAAAAGAAGAAGAAAAGAAAAGGAGAAAAGCAGAGGGAGTACAGGATGAAAACATCCAGTCATTCTGTCCCTCAGTATATCTGTTGGAATTAATTATTATATACCGATCACAACTGAGCCTTTGCGCTCCTTTGAATGTTTATTGATATTCTTCCAGTGTTGCATACCGCGACTATTGGCGCCCTTGAGTGGTTGGCACCTACCGGTCGGGGTTGGTCAGCACCTAACGGTCGGGGTTCGTCGGCAACCCGCAATTTTGTTTTGTTGTTGGGTCCAGAACCCCCAATAGCCCCACCAAGAACCCCATACCAGCCCCAAACACCCCCATAC